TTGAGATAAGGTCTCACTGTTTCCCAGGCTGGTCTTAAACTCCTGGCCTCAAGTTATCCTCCCACCTTGGCCTCCCAAAGTGATGGGAATTACAGGTATGAGCCACCACACCTGGCCTATAAGTAAGAATAATTAATTGCAAACTTTATTTAGCCTTAATATTTGCCCTGTTTTGTTCAAAATGCATGTTCATATTGGTATCAATACGTGTTTTGGGGGGTTTTTCTTGAGTCAGTGTCTTACTCTGTGCCCAGGCCGGTGTACAGGCATACTTATGGCCACTGCAGCCTCAACCTCCTGGGCTCAGGCAATCCTTCTGCCTTAGCCTTCCAAATAGCTGGAATTGCAGTCAAGTAGCTGGAATTACAGGCACGCATCACCATGCCCGGCTAATTTTTTTAATTTATTGTAGAGATGAGGTCTCACCAAGTTGTGCAGGCTGGCCTCAAACCCATAAGCTCAGGCAATCCTCTCACCTCAGCCTCCCAAAGTACTGGGATTATAGGCATGAGCTACTGTGCCCAACCTCTTTTTTTTTTTTTTTTTTTTTTTTTTTTAAGATATGTGGTCTGGCCAGGCACACTGGATCAGGGCTGTAATCACAGTACTTTAGGGAGTGGAAGCGAGAGGATTGCCTGAGCCCAGGGGTTCAAGACCAGTCTAGGCAACTTGGCAAGACTTGTCTCTACAATAAATCAAAAAATTCACCAGGCATGGCAGCACACACCTGTGGTTCCAGCTTCTTAGAAGGCTGAGGTGGAAGGATCGCCTGAGCCCAGCAGGTCGAGGCTGCGGTGACTGTGAGCATGCCACTGCACTCCAGCCTGGGTGACAGAGTGAGACTCTGACCCAAAAAAAAAGAGGGCTGGGCTTAGTGGCTCAGCCTGTAATCCCAGCACTTTGGGAGGCCGAGGCAAGTGGATTGCCTGAGCCTGTGGGTTCAAGACCAGCCTGGGCAACATGGTGAGACCTTGTCTCTACAATAAATCAAAAATTAGCCAGGCGTGGTAGCACGCACCTGTAGTTCCAGCTACTTGGAAGGCTGAGGCAGAAGGATACCTGAGCTCAGCAGGTCAATGCTGGGGTGCCCATGAGCGTGCCCAGCCTGGACAACAGAGTGAAACTCCAACTTAAAAAAAAGAGAGAGAGATGAGCCAGACATGGTGGCTCACGCCTATAATCCCAGCACTTTGGGAGGCTGAGGCGAGAAGATTGTCTGAGCCCATGGGTTCAAGACCAGCCTGTTGAGACCTTGTCTCTACAATAAATCAAAAAAATTATCTAGGCATGGTGGCGCGTGTCAGTAGTTCCAGCTACTTGAAAGGCTGAGGCAGAAGGATTGCCTGAGTCCAGCAGGTCGAGGCTGTGGTGACCATGAGCAGCGTACCACTGCACTCCAGCCTGGGAGACAGAGTGAGACTCTGACTCAGGAGAAAAAAAAAAAGAGATGAGGTCTTGTTCTGTTGCCCAGGATGGAGTGCAGTGGCACAATCCTAGCTCACTGACTGGAGCCTCAACTTCCTGGTCTAAAGCGATCCTCTCACCTTGGCCTCCTGATTAGCTGGGACTACTAATCACCACTCCTGGCTTATTTTCCAGCTCTGACTGCTGACAGGTTCTTAGAAGCAGTGATACCCCAGTAGCAATGAGCACACTGAACACCCAGATCTTGGTCTCTAAACACCATTCAAGAAAAGGAATCAGGTTCCTTGGAGAAATGGCTGATTCCAGGAATGTCCCACAGAATGGGACATTTTGTAGTGCCAAAGTAAACCAGAGAGAGTGATGGGGAATGTGTTAAAAGGACACAGGACCTAACTTAAAGGTGTAGTAAAGGAAATCATATGGTAATTCATTATAACCCACAGAATGAAATAGATACCCATCAGTTCATAGGGACATTAATACTTTAATAAATACACAATTGGCCAGCTACTTGGAAGGCTGAGGCGGAAGGACTGCCGGAGCCCAGCAGGTCGAGGCTGCGGTGGCCGGGAGCAGCCACTGCATTCCAGTCTGGGCAACAGTGAGACTCCAACTCAAAAAAAAAAAAAAAACAATACACAATAGGAGGAGAATGGATATTTCTTGTTTGCAGAATTCCAATTTATAATTAAATTTATAAATAGAGGATCACTATGAGACAAATAATACAGTAATAATTGTTGCCATCAACAACCATGGATGAATGTTAAGGTTAGTGGTGAAAAATATGATTTAAAAACAGGGTATTTTCATGGTCTCTTTTTTTTTTTTTTTTGAGTTGGAGTCTCACTCTGTCGCCCAGACTGGAGTGCAGTGGCCGCTCCCAGCCAACACAGCCTCGACCTGCTGGGCTCCGGCGATCCTTCTGCCTCAGCCTTCCAATTAGCTGGAACTAGAGGCGCGCACTACCACACCCGGCTCATTTTTGATTTATTGTAGAGATGAGGTCTCGCCAACTTGTCCATGCTGGTCTCAAACCCGCAGGCTCAGGCAATCCACTGGCCTCAGCCTCCCAAAGTGCTGGTATTACAGGTTGAGCCCATGTCTTTAAAAATAAAGTTGCCGGGCTCGGTGGCTCAGCCTGTAATCCCGTGCCTTTGGGAGGGTGAGGTGAGTGGAT